CTGATTAAATAATGGTTCATTGTTATTTATTTAAAGCAAGTCATTTTATTTTCTTCTTTTTATTGCATATATAAAAGCTTTTATTTTTCTTTTAACTATAACATCTTGTTAGCAAAAACATAGTTAACTACATCTTGAATTTCAACTGAATCGAATCACAATAGAATTACGCAACATATGAACGAATGTAAACAGCACGACAAAATGTGTACTTTGTAAAACCCTTTTAAATGTTTTAAGAATAATAAAACATCTAAATGTAACAATGTCATCTTTCAATATCGTTTGGTCTTGACTTTCGTAAGTTTAAAAAAAAAATTTACAATCCTATTATTTATTTAAAAATTCTCTAGATTTTACTTTTATTTACTTACTTTATTTGCACCGTTACATAGAGCACAGTATTTGTTGTAATAGTAAACACCGGATATAGGATCGACAACTCTAATCACAGTGTCAGGTGTTTTGTCTTCAAAGCTTAGGACCTTTTCGCACAGTTTTACTACAGTTTTATTATCAGCGAATTCATTGGAGCATTTTCTAATATAATAAAATTGGTCGTCAAAGTCAATTTCTTTTTCACAAAATAGTTCCACTAATTTACTACCATAAATAATTGGAATAACCTCTCCTTTGATTATCTGTAACTGTGGGTTAAAATATTCGTAGTCTAACTGAAATTCCAAATTGATCACATTGGTAGTTGTGCCAACACTGTATCGGATGCCAGGAAAAAGTGAGCCAGATGTATTTAACAAGGGACAGACTTTTTTATGTAACGGGCAGATCTCATTGCAGCAACAGTTGAAGTAAGTGGCGAGATTACAATCGTCGTATATCTGGTGTATCGCCACGACGCTCCCATTGAAACATCCATAAGGGTACATGCTGATGAGGAATTCTTCTGATAAAATAGTTTGGTTCCATACAATGCTGTGATAAGCCTTGACTGGGAATATCTGAGTGTTGGAGCAGTGCGTCAATAACAGGACCGAGAAAAGCTTTAACAATAGCATTGTCTATTTTCAATATAATTCTTTTGGATTAAATTTACTTAGAATTGGTGTTAAGTCATCGACCTCGAGCTCTGACGGGAAACATACAGTTACACATAAAATCTTGTTTACAATTTCTTTGTATTAAATACCACGCTTTTAGTTACTTAAGCTTAACGCAATGTTACGAGTTGAGCAAACACCTAGTAAACATTCTTTTAATAATGATCTAAAGGCTTGTGTCTACTGGTGAGTATGTGAGTTTTAAAGGCAGCGGTTATATTTATCTACAAAAGTTAATTACCAAACGTGATTATCAAAAAAGTGTAATAGAAAAAACAGATTCAAACACGACACATTTTTAACTTGTTTTATTAACATTTGTTGCGTTATTTATTCTAAAACCATTTTATTTTTACATTATTTCCCTTTAACCCCACCTGCTCGTAACGAACTTTTTAACTGTTATTGCAACCAGAACATAAACTTAATTAAACCACGTGCTGATAAAAAAAAATAATTAACTGGAAATGGCAGAGGTTTTCTACAAATTCTAAACTGAATCCACCTGAGGCTCGGTGTAAAAAAAAATATCAGATTTTTAACATTAATATACACGTTTATAAGTACTTTAATCAGTAAGGTTTCAACGGTACTAAATCTTGTATGACGTTTTGCTATAACGAGTCTCTTGTTGTTTCATGTTTACATAGCAACAGATACAACTTCTAAATTCTTTTTGGTCCTCGTCTATAATTTGGACTATATATAAATGGAACACTTGTGGAACACTTATCCAATATAAACATTTCTTGCGGATACCTGGGGCAGTGTATAAAAAAAGTATAAACTTGTCGCCACGGGAAAATGTTTGAGACCCGCCACTCGAGCGATAACGTCATACCCTACTGTATTTACAAATGTCAGAAACGTTTCATGTACATGTCATCATATTTTTTTATTTTAAAAAGCAAATGTTATTTTAAAACTCAAACACTTCAAAAAAAACTAAATTAATAAAGGTTGCTGAAAATTTCCAATCAAGGAAAAGACAACTTTGCGCTTTAAGAAAAAATTAATTAATACGCAAAATTTTTAGTATTTTAAATGTTCCATCATAAATGGTGACATAATTAGATAGATGTTTGTTCAAAGCATACAGTGTTACAGCGCAGAAAATAACTTTAACCATCTAATATTTAGCAAATGTCATCTTTATAAAAATGTTTGTCATCAATACCTATGTCCTTCGTCAAACATGATTAAACAAGGATCATGTTTCAAGTTTTATTTAAGTTATGTCATTGATTTTATAAAAATATTTTAATTACACACATATTTGGTCGTTAAAAGCGAAAATCGTTTTCTTTTAGCTACTAAAATATAATAATAATAAATAATAATAATAACACAAATAATAATACATGTTAAAAAAATGGAAAGCTCCCATTTTTTAACATGACAGTCCATGGGGCAAAGAGAGTAGAGCAAAGTAGAGCAAAGTAGAGTGAAGTAGAGTGAAGTAGAGTGGAGTAAACCCATCTAAGGCCTAAAAACAATCTATAAGGAACCATGACAATGGGTTGCCATAATGCGATGGGATTGGTTGTCTTCAAACGTCATCTAGAGCTGACCTACATCATCCCCAGTTAAAGCATCACTAGCTCAACCAGCTGTCTAAAACATACCTAGCTCAACCAGCTGTCTAAAACATACCTAGCTCAACCAGCTGTCTAAAACATACCTAGCTCAACCAGCTGTCTAAAACATACCTCGCTCAACCAGCTGTCTAAAATATACCTAGCTCAACCAGCTGTCTAAAACATACCTAGCTCAACCAGCTGTATAAAACATACCTAGCTCAACCAGCTGTCTAAAACATACCTAGCTCAACCAGCTGTCTAAAATATCCCTAGCTCAACCAGCTGTCTAAAACATACCTAGCTCAACCAGCTGTCTAAAACATACCTAGCTCAACCAGCTGTCTAAAACATACCTAAAAACATCGCTAGCTCAATCAGCAGCCAAAAACATTGGATTGGCTTCTATAGCTTTTGTCCAACAAAGAACAAACTACTTTGCAGCAGTTGTTTGCTTTTGAAGATGTCTCTCCTGGATGACTGGCTGTCCCCAGCCATCTAGCCTCACCTGCCGAAGTTCGACCCAATCACGCCGACCTCACCCATATAATATCGGTTAGCCTCGTCCGAAGTGGATTAGTTGTGATCCTGTGAGATGCGATTTAGCCAAGGATCTCAAATTAAGGGTACTCACAATACGTTTAGAAATAAAATTTAATTAGAACTTGTGAGCAAAAATTATGTTACTCCGAAATGTACTCACTTCAAAATAAATAAATATATATATATATATATATATATATATATATATATATATATATATATATATATATATATATATATATATATATATATCGACCTAATTCGTTCGCATAATCAATTGCCACTAAAATAGATGAAGTGTTTAGTTCTTCTTAATTTTAGTTCTGGAAGTGGATTCCCTTCTACACAATTAAGCATTCGTGCCAACTGCTGTGCAATATATGCTATTGACTTTTTTTTATTTGCTTCTATAGTATTTGTCCAATCAAGATTAAACTACAAGGCAATAGTCGTTTGATATTGGAGTTGTCCTTCCTAGAAGATTGGCTGTCCCCAACTTATAAGCTTCATCTGCCCCATGGTTCGAACTCGAGACTTTTCGGTTTAGCAACCATGAGCTTTACCGACTCTACCAAGCAGTCCCCTGAAAAGTTTTCGAATCTGTGCAGTCAGTTTTTGCAGGAGTACATAGTGCATAGTTTTTTATAAAATAAAAACTGCAATGACTACCATTAAAACAAATGAGGAAAGTAAATTCCTGGAAACTAGCGTTAACGATAGCAGTACAAGAACACACACAACACCGTGTTTTTCCCCTTTTCCAAAAACAAAAATAATACTTGTGTTTATAACACATATCATTGTTACCAGCCAGGGGGGGATAAATAATACGTTTTAATTTATTGGTTTGCGGCCCCTGTGGGACCGCAACTGTTGATGTCGCTTTTTGCATGCTCTTCGGTGAGCGATTTTTACCTGCGTTCTATATCATGTGACATGGGATTATGGGTAGTTCGTGCCTGTAGCCGTGTTAGTCAGACCCAAGGCTGCTGTGGACACGGAGGGTGACGTTGTCTATAGGTAGATCATGTAGACCTAATGCAGGTAATGTGGTAATATAAATTATGTTTATTATAAGAGTACTTATTTGTGTATTCCCGCTAGTGCTGCATGTTGCACACTAGTTAGGTTGAGTATTTATTTAAGTATTTATTATTGTACTACTTATTGGCAACATATTTTATTACACCCGTGTATTTGTGTTGCATACACGTGGTATTTCCAGTGATGTAACCTATTGTTTACATTTGTTTTTGGGCTACAGTTGCTGTGTTCAACAGTTTTTTTTTTCTGTTTTCGACACTGTTCTCTACAGTATAGTTGGACATCAGTAGTTTGTCTACTGTTTTCTACTGTTTTCTACTGCTCTACTGTTCTACATCGCTGTTTATGGCTTGGTGTTATTGTCAATAAAGCCAGTATTTGACAACAGCGTCGTTCCATTGTGTGCTTTATCTCAGGGTCAGCCCCTTTTTTTCACTGTTCCCTTTGATAGTAAATATTTAGCATTTCATAGCTATGCCATTTTATCGATACTTTTACCATTTTTGTTTGTAATTTTCATGACAAAAATAATTTCTTTTTGGTTGTTGCACGCGAATTTCATGGTTGTTAAAATCTCTAAGCACTGGAGATTGCTTTGGAGTTTGGACTAATACATCAGGCTCTTGAAACTGGTCATAGGGCAAATATAACGTCTGGTGTAATAATTATCAAGCTGTTTTCTATTTCCTTATTAACGGTATGTAGGCTTACTGCAGGTAAGTAGATAAAAAATAAACACAAGAAACTCATTTTTTTTACTCTTGTTTATTTTGTCTAAGGAAGTTTATATGTATATATTTTGAAGACAGATTTATAATTGATTCAAGGATGCCCTTTATTCTTATGAGTTATAATTTGATATTTGATAATTTATTGTTTGTCTTGTGCCAGTGTATGGGTTGTTTATTGATTTAGTTTTAAAATGTTTGTTGATTTATTGTTTGCGATGTTGTTGATTTAGTGTTTGTGATGGTTATTGATTTTGTTTTATGGGATGTTTGTTGACATAGCAATAAAGATGTTTAAATATTTAATGTGTGGGATGTTTATTGATTTAATGTTTGAAGAATGTAGTGATTTGGTGTTTGGGAAGTTTGTTTGGTTAATTTTTTGTTTGTCTGTTGATTGAATGGCGATGTGGCGACGCTGTTAATTTCTTGGTTGTTGTACTGGTTGCTTGTTCTGTTTAACACTGATGGATTTGTGGTTGCCTCAAACGGGTTGGAGCGGGATGTTCGCTTTATTTTAGCTGTTTGTCCATCTGCAGAATTAAAAATATAATTCAATGTGGGTTAGAGTTAGGATAAAATAGATAGATGAGAGTTTAGGTGGGTTAGATTTAGGTGGGTTAGATTCAGGATATACTAGATAGATGAGAGTTACGTTGGGTTAGAGTTAGGATAAAATAGATAGATGGGAGTTACGTTGGGTTAGAGTTAGGATAAAATAGATAGATGAGAGTTTAGGTCGGTTAGAATAAGCGTATAGACAAAAAAAAAACACAACAAAGCTTAGCTGGGTATGGTGACGTTAGTTGGGCTAGTTTTAATTAAGTCAAACAGAATGGATAAAATGTACTCTAGTCAGAGGTCAAACCAAAGAGTTAAGTAGATTAGCTAGAAAAGGTAGGAACTAATCAGAAGTGTGATGTAAGATGAATGGTCAGTGAAACGGTCAGCTGACTTCAAAGCGTAAGTAGTTGGTCATTGGAGCATGCATCGGGCAGATGTGTGTGTTAGAAAGCAGTTGTAGATATGTATACATATATATATATATATATATATTGTTAGGAGATAGTTAATTTGGACTTAGAGATTAGTTATGATATAGTTGAGACAGTTGAATTAGTGTGTAGTACAGTAGAGGTAGGAGTGGAATTTGATGTGTCAAATAGAGAAATGTTTATATATCTTTGAATTAGACTTTTGTTAGTTATTATTGATTCCACTAGAACTTCTGTCGGCTCACATTAAGTTTCGATCCGTTAACCACAATATATAGCAAACATTACGGTGTAACCCTCTCCACACTGGGTTAGAGTTAGAATATACCAAACCTTGGAGGGCTTAGCAAGAAGTTAAATGTAAAATTCACTTTCTGTTGAGTGTAGCGGACAGTGTATTTTAAATCACACAAGTGCTATTCGCAATATTAAAATTACGATTCACCTTTATGTTATTATCTAGAATTAATGATTTTCGTTTTTGAAATTATTTTAATTTAAAATTAATATAATTTTTTTAAAGTCTTGCTAGACTACAAGGAGCCTAACATATTTTATCACCTGTTGTTTTTTTTTTCAGTTTGTGCCCAAGACTCCTGGGGCAGTTAAAACAGAGTTAATCTGTTTCAATGACATCGGCATACGGCGTTTATAATGTGGTCAGCACTGTGCCTAGCAGTTTTGCTTTCATTACATGAGTCAGGTACCCATCAAAGATGGATGGACACAGGACGTCGTACTGAATCGAACACGGGATCAGAACGTGGGACTTTTGGGTTAAAAGTTGTGAGCTCTACCATCAGACCATAACACATTAACTATGTTTAACAAAATGATAAAATCTACATCGATTCAAAATTTTGTTTTATAGTATTAAGAGGATAAGAAAAAAGATGTTTGCGATTATCAATCTGTTACAATCGTAACAAGTTTATAAGAAAGAGAAAACGATAAGGAGCCACATAATTCTCACTTTTGAAACTCAGCGAGTGTAACTGTTTTATCGCCATCAGCGTCGGTTTGGTTGAACAAAGGCTTGTAATCTTTATCATTGAGGACGCAGTCGTTGTTCAAATCGTAGTAGCTCCAAAACTTCATGGCAGTTTCCTTGTAGAAATCTAAGTACTCTTTTTTCTCAATACGAGTGTCGTTGTTGCCGTCGTACATCTGTCACATATAAAGTCACATTGAATTAGCCCGACGTCGGGAAGTAGAGATACGTGACAGAATGTACTAAATTCAATTGCGACATTAACACAAGATTGTGACATTGATGTTTTTTAATGTCAGTGACTCAATCTTTCGACAGTAACACACGGTTGTGACATTGATGTTTTTTAATGTCAGTGACTCAATCTTTCGACAGTAACACACGGTTGTGACATTGATGTTTTTTAATGTCAGTGACTCAATCTTTCGACAGTAACACACGGTTGTGACATTGATGTTTTTTAATGTCAGTGACTCAATCTTTCGACATTAACACACGGTTGTGACATTGATGTTTTTTAATGTCAGTGACTCAATCTTTCGACAGTAGCACACGGTTGTGACATTGATGTTTTTTAATGTCAGTGACTCAATCTTTCGACAGTAACACACGGTTGTGACATTGATGTTTTTTAATGTCAGTGACTCAATCTTTCGACAGTAACACACGGTTGTGACATTGATGTTTTTTAATGTCAGTGACTCAATCTTTCGACAGTAACACACGGTTGTGACATTGATGTTTTTTAATGTCAGTGACTCAATCTTTCGACATTAACACACGGTTGTGACATTGATGTTTTTTAATGTCAGTGACTCAATCTTTCGACAGTAACACACGGTTGTGACATTGATGTTTTTTAATGTCAGTGACTCAATCTTTCGACAGTAACACACGGTTGTGACATTGATGTTTTTTAATGTCAGTGACTCAATCTTTCGACATTAACACACGGTTGTGACATTGATGTTTTTTAATGTCAGTGACTCAATCTTTCGACAGTAGCACACGGTTGTGACATTGATGTTTTTTAATGTCAGTGACTCAATCTTTCGACAGTAACACACGGTTGTGACATTGATGTTTTTTAATGTCAGTGACTCAATCTTTCGACAGTAACACACGGTTGTGACATTGATGTTTTTTAATGTCAGTGACTCAATCTTTCGACAGTAACACACGGTTGTGACATTGATGTTTTTTAATGTCAGTGACTCAATCTTTCGACATTAACACACGGTTGTGACATTGATGTTTTTTAATGTCAGTGACTCAATCTTTCGACAGTAACACACGGTTGTGACATTGATGTTTTTTAATGTCAGTGACTCAATCTTTCGACAGTAACACACGGTTGTGACATTGATGTTTTTTAATGTCAGTGACTCAATCTTTCGACAATAACACACGATTGTGACATTGATGTTTTTTAATGTCAGCGACTCAATCTTTCGACAGTAACACACGATTGTGACATTGATGTTTTTTAATGTCAGTGACTCAATCTTTCGACAGTAACACACGGTTGTGACATTGATGTTTTTTAATGTCAGTGACTCAATCTTTCGACAGTAACACACGATTGTGACATTGATGTTTTTTAACGTGACACTGACATAATACAACAGAGATCAAACAGTGTCAACTATACTCACACTAAATGAATTTTGATACTCGCCCAACGAAAGTACACCATCCTCGTTCACGTCCGCGTGTTTAAAAACTTCGCCGTTCTCATCTTGAGCGGGCACCAATTCATGCAGGAGGCACATTACAACAAATGGCACCACGGCCAATCTCTGAGGTACCAACAGCTGCATTTGTATATCTGATGTCGTACGATTTATTTGAAAGCAGTTGCTTCTAACTAAACTGATTGTCAATGCTGTATAGATGTGTATTCGGTGAGAACAGGTTGTACAAGATAATTATCGATTTACCTTACGTAGTTATTGAGTGTAGATTATAAAGCTTTAGTCGCTTGAATACAGAGGCGTGGAGTTTATGTTAACTAACATGGCCACGGTTTGTGTATCTATAGTTGTATGTTTGGGATAAGAGGTGTTTTAGCTGAGTGTTTCCTTTTGTGACACGGAGATATGCTTATAACCTAGCAGATTCGAACAATAAATGTGTATAGAATACACACGTTTAAATAAATTCATTCTTACTGCTAATAAACAGAGGCAAGCAAAGCTTGAAAGGGGGGGGCTATTTACTTAACATTTTCAGGGGCCCTGCGACTATTTTACACTAGAACAAGTGAAGCAACACGCCATATATTTAAGACAGAATAGGTTATCCAATATAATGTATATTAAACATTAGATGAAAACATTTTTTTCAGTTCATTGTTTATTTTAATTATTATACTTACATTAATTTACTATCGGATATTATCAATCTCGTCTTTGGTCTCGTTTTGATGCAAAGTACATTTTTTTCTCGTTGTCAGAGGATATACATTGCCAAAATATATTTAGGCAACACATACATACATACATATATTCTTAAACTATACGTGTCATCGTCGTCTCTTAGCGCCCATTCGCGCACGAAGCATCAAAGACTGAGTGCCATTTTATTCTGTCTCTAGCTCTAAACTCTGCCTTGTGGGAATTGTAAGTATTTCTCCTTCAACTTCTTCATTGATCTTGTTCCTTTTTTTATCCTTGTTTTTCCTTTGCCCTGCTATGTCCCTCTATTAGTACGTAAACCAGCCCCCTACTTCATTTGTCTGAATACTACTCTAAGCTCTTATTTTTGTGGGTACTTTGACAAAACATTTTTCATCTTAAAAAGTTCGCATTTTGATAACAATATATGATTACAATGACTAGAAATTGAGGAAAATTCTAGTCAAAATATAAATAACAAACTAAAACATGAACACAATTTCATCTACTTCAAAGAGCTGTAGGACAAAACACAACTGCTGTTACGAAATCATTTAAGCTTAGGTTTATTGTGTTATTGTAAGTTTGTTATTGATCGCAATTGTTTAACTGTAAACATTACTTCTGTATATTGTACCATTTTATTACGAAGAGAAATTGTCTACAGCTCTTGTGTCATGACTCATTACTTGTGGTAACCTAACCCTGCAGTGCTTAAACCCAATAATGCAATCCATTATCTAAAGCTCTTATGTCATGACCCATTACTTCATTACTTATGGTAACCTACCCCTGCAGTGCTTAAACCCACTACACCATTGTCTAAAGCTCTTGTGTCATGACTCATTACTTGTGGTAACCTAACCCTGCAGTGCTTAAACCCGCAAATGCAATCCGGATACTTGGTTGGTGCCTACTATTTTATTTCACGTTTATTACCTTTGTATTAAAAACGATTCAATTGTCTACGGCATGGATACCCATGAGGTATCCAGCGGATATTTGATAAACACGTGACACGTCGAGATCAGTCTCGGGGGGGGGGGGGGGGTGAAGAGGGAGAGTAGTCACTCATTCCTTACGACTTGGGGATAGTGAAGGGGCTGATCACACTTTGAACATACAATACCTACATATGCTGAGGTCAAACAAACGCTAACTCTGCCTGAGTGTTTCTAAAATGGCACTTAATATTTACCATACATTAAAACAAGGGTATCATGTTTAGTGTTGGATTTCCCTCTATAAGAGTGATGACATGGGTTGGATAACGAAAAACCTCATGCGCTATAATTTTAGAATCTGCATTACTCTGCAGTCACATACTGACCACACAATCCACATGTACGTCGAGCTTATTGAGACAGTTGAACTCTACTCAATCTGCCCCGTATATTTTGGGTACGAACGGGAATAAATAATGATGATCCTATACTGCCGAAAAAAAAAATTAAATTCCAAAAAGACGGATGTATGTCGCCTTTATTTATGAGCTCTTTAAAATTGGTTCACTTCATTACATGTTGTCACTTATTCGCGCTTCATGTTTATTCAGATTTAACCCAAACAAATTTCAATCGATAGAATGACAGAAAACAATTTTATTTGATATTCATATTTTATTTCAGCCAAGTTTATTCAACCATCAAAACTTTTAACATAGATTTAGTATTTCTGGTGTTACTTAGTTTAAGTTGTATTCTTTAGTGTTTGTTGGTTCTCTAAGTTTGTTGCTTGTTTCTGTTCCAGAGGCTATAAGATTTAATTTTAGCTGATGAGTGTTTTGTGAAGGCTGGTAGTTTCCTTTTAGTGTATGGTGGTGTTTTTTAAGGTTGGGTTGCCAATTGTTTTATGGTTGTTTCTTTGGTCGTTGGTGGCTTTTTGTGGTGGTTTGTTGGTGGTTGATGATTGTTTCGTGGTTATTGATACTGTTTTTTGTGGAATATGATGTTTTTGTATTGGTTGTTTATGGTTTGTGTAGTTGTTAATTATGGTCTAATGCTGTTTGACGGTGGTATTTTGAAGATTGGTAGTTGTCCTGTGGCAGCTGACGTTGGTCTTGTGGTGGTAAATGGTGGCTCTGCTGTGGTTGATGGTGTTTTCGTGGTAGTTGATTGTGTTGGTTTTTTTTGGTGATCAACGGTGATTCAGTTGTGGGTATTTCTGTTTCGGTGGTGCAAGTTTATTTTCTGTAGTAGTTAACGGAATTTTTGTAGTGGTTGATTGTGTTTCTGTGGTCGTTACTGGTGTTTCTGTGGTCGTTACTGGTGTTTCTGTGGTCGTTACTGGTGTTTCTGTGGTCGTTACTGGTGTTTCTGTGGTCGTTACTGGTGTTTCTGTGGTGGTTGCAGGTGGTTCACTTTTTTGCTTCTGTAATGCACGATGATGTTTTATGATAGTTGATGTTTTTGTTGTGATGGTTGATGGTTCAGTGGTGGTTAATGATGGTTCTGTGTTGGATGATGATTTGACTTGTCTCGGAGCCTAGCTGCTCTAAGTTTTTTTGGCTTTAAGACTTTCCACATACCTGTGGAGTAACATAGAGCGTTATATGAGCTAAGTATGTATGTACAAAATTTGGAAGTAAGCAATAATATGTTATACTATTTACTAAATTTGATTGTATTAACTTTTTATCCTAAATGTTATTTAAAATAAATATATTTTACTATAGTTAGAGGTATACGGATCGTATTATATTTAAACCTTCTGTACTAAATAAAACTGCCGTCACAAAAATAAAATCACTCGCATTTAAAAACCAGCGTGAAGTCAATCTATAGCAAAAACTTGTATAAACCAAACTCTCACTTTCTGAACTCCTCAAGTGTGGCCTTTTGATTTTTGTTAGTGTCCATGGTCTTGAATATTTCTTTGAAATCTGTATCGGTCAGAACCCCATCTTGGTTGATGTCGTAAGCATTAAACATGTCTGACGTGTACCGTGTATTGTATTCTACAAACCTCTGACAGGTAATCTCATCCGTCTTCTGTTTTTTATATTTCTAGACGAAAAGTGATTGTGGTTCAAATGTATGTTAAGTAATAAGTTATTTTACTTTGCATTAATGAATATATATATATATATATATATATATATATATATATATATATATATATAAAATTTATATGCGTGTATAGGTATCTGTGTGTTTGCGTGTCTGTGTGTGTGCGTTTATGTTGGTTTGTATTTAGATACTAAATAAACATACTTTGATGTAGGTGTTTTATTGTAATCCTATGGTATAAGAACTTAACCTTAGAGCAAGAAACAAAATAAACTATAAAGTTTGTGTAGAACTGAGCGTTAAACAAATAACCGTAGTGAGTTGATTGATTTTGAACTCTGAATTCATAGATAGTTGATTTTACTCAACATTACATTTAGTGTGGATTCAAAATACCTTTCATTCTAGTTAATGAATTTAATTCACCACTACATTCAGAAATAGTGGATGTATTTAGCTCAGCTTTACATTGAGTCAGAGCCATACACTGCTAAAATGATTGACAGCTATACACATCAGCGTGCTTTTCTAATGTTAGTACTTACATTATACAAATTCGGATACTTTTCACACGTGTGTACTTACGTTGTACAAATTCGGATACTCTTTAAGCGTTAGTTTCCCATCCTTGTCCGTGTCCGCATTATTGAAGTCAGTGGTAGCTTCATCCAAATCTTCAGTCTGACCCAGTGCAAGGCCGGGTAGGATACACATTATCAGTAAGAAAGCCCCGTCCATTTCTTATGCTATGAAGAACTTTAACTGATTATCTAATACTGTACAAGTACACACTATAGAATATTGCTGTGATACATTGTTACTGCAGATAGTGGTAGTGTGATGTGACAACAGCTCGAGTTATTGAACATGAGATCAACATTGTACTGATTACATAGTGGCCAGGTTACATAGGCGTAGTTTCCAGTTCTTTCATGTGGATACCGTTTACATACAAAGCATGAGTGTGTTCGGGTTGATTACTTTATTTTGTGGTATGATGAAAACTCATAGATTTGATATTTGGTAATTCAATATTTGGGTTGTAATAGTTCTATAGGTTTTGATGTCTGAATTGGGATGCTTGTTAATTTAGTGTTTGGAATGTTTGTTGGTTTAGTGTTTGGGATGTTGTTTTTAACAGCAAATTTAGTATCTGGAACATCGTTGTTAAACGTTAATTTCGTGCTATTTTATTGATTTAACCCAAAACTGTGGTTTAATTTTCAATTATCTTTAGTATTTCAGTAGAATATGCAAAAATATATACATATTTAAGCCATATTTATTAGTTACCTTATCCCTACATTACTAGCGACCGCCGAATTGATTACGCTAAAACGATAACCTATATACATATATATCAGGGGCGTAGCGAGGGGGGGGGGCGGGGGGTGCGGACCGCACCGGGTGACACCATTTAGGGGGGTGACACCAAGGCAAAAAATAGCAAAATATATAGAGAAAAACTCGAGGGGGGGGGTGCAAATCGAAAGTTTGAGGGGGGGTGCAAATCGAAAACTCGAGGGGGGGGGGTGGAAATCGAAAATTTGAAAGTTTATCCCTGGGAAGGGTCTCTATGCCTCTGGGGGGGTGACACCATTAAGTGCCGCACCGGGTGACACCCGACCTCGCTACGCCACTGATATATATATATATATATATATATATATATATCAATATCTATACAAGGTATATAAAAAATAAAAGTCGGATGCGGTTCGTCCGAGTGCCATGAAACTTTAGAGAGTAGATGAGAATACTCCCGAGAATATTTCTGCGAAAAAAAGAAAACTAAAGTTTCTTATGGGCGGCGCCATATAGGGTACAACTTTCGTCAATACACGGTTTGGCGCCCAGAGTTTTAGAGCGACTATGTTGGACTTGGCATCAGTGTTTTTTCCAGACTTTTTTCTCCGGGGGGGGGGGGGGGCACTTGAAATTTTCGGGGGGGGGGGGGGGCGGCGGACACTGTTAAAAGTATATATTTTTGATATAAATACGCACCCCCCCCCCCCCCGAAGATATTATTGGAAGAAACTCTGCTTGGCATCCGTTAATCGAGCGTCCTGCATAGCGAGTAAGGGGTACTACTATATTCAGCGGTAAAACTACATCAGGCTTCTAAAAATAACTTTGTAACGCGAGGAAATCCTTCTGTACAGTTTCGTCACCTTTGCGAAAGATGAAAAAATAACTTTTTGAATATTAGGAGCCTACTGTAGAGTTTCGTCATATATATTATATATATATATATAGAGAGAGAGAGAAAGATATTAAAGAGATAGATAGATACGAACATAAGATACTCATTGCTGGCCTGTTCGGGTTATGAAATATTAGGAGCCTACTGTAGAGTTTCGTAATATATATTATATATATATATATATATAGAGAGAGAGAGATATTATAGAGATAGATAGATACGAACATAAGATACTCATTGCTGGCCTGTTCGGGTTATGAAAACAAATTTTTATTCAATTAAATCAAATAACAATATCCTGTCATGTGAGTAGGTGCATTAGTGTGTTTAGTGAAAATAATAAATTTTAAATCAAAGACCGCAAGACCTCAAAATTGCAAAACTATGTTTTTCCGACTCATGGAGGTGTAAAACGTCGAGATTTATGAAAATCTCGATTACAAAACTTCCTCTATACGAGAAAGTAAAAATCTATATGTTTATTGGACTCAAGAAAAAATATATTTTAAACAACAGCAAAAAAAAAGGCATTAAATTGGTGAAAAAAGTGTTTCCAATTTGGTTAGTTTTGGCCACAAAATTATTTTTATCAAATAAATCATTAATATGACTTTTTGTTTTATTGATTTTAAAATGTGTAGATTTAAATTGACAATATAAACATATATATATATATATATATATATATATATATATATATATATATATATATATATATATATATATATATATATAAATATATATATATAAACATATATGTAAAAAATGTTTATAATAAACAGGACTATGATAAATGAAAAAGGCATTTAAATGGAAACATAAGGACTTTTAACATGAATTTAACTGTGATTATCAGCAACAATAAAAAAATTCAGTTTCTTTGAGTATTGTAGAAAACAACAATAATAATTAATATCTGATTAAAAACTTTGAAAAATAATAAAAAGTTTAAATATCATGATCAGAAAACTCAGAAATAATTCATAACAAACCTGACAGTTTAACACTCAAAGGAAAAGAAATGGCTATAAAGACATTTTACATTCCTTCACACATTGATTTTAATTTTAAACTAACCTATTACAAAATCTTGTGTTGACAGTTGAAAATAAAACTATTTTGACATATCCATTCTTTTTAAACTGTATTTGTACATGTAATCTACACAAATTACTTGAAGCATAAAGCGTATTGAAAAAGCAAATTGAAAAAAAAGTAAATAATTATTTTGTAATGATAATACACGTTTTAATAATACTACACTTGAATTTAATCTTGGAGAGTTTTTGGTGCTAAAAATAAATGCATAAAACATATACAAAGTTCCTAAAATATGCATAAAAACAACATTTAAAAGACACTCAATCTTTTTGTCTTTCTCTTTTAATAAACAACTTTAATTTGAATAATAAAGCAATTGTTTTCAATATTCCGTGACATAACATGATTATTTTGAGTACAGTAGATTTTGCACCTAAAAGAATTTTTAAACATTATTATTAAAAATTTGTTTTTAAATAGAAATTTGAACCAGATCTTTCTTTTAAACAGGGTTAAAATACATAATAAGCATATAATATTAATATAAAATGTAATTTGACTTAGAGATTTAAAATGGTATTTGGGTTTAATAAAAATAGTATGTACATTCATTCAAGCATGCATAAACAGCTCAATTTCAGGGATTCAGAACTATGCAGTAAGAAAGGTTTAGGGTGACTAGACTGCATGTTCTATGGATTCATATAATATTTGTAACTTTTTGTCTAAACTAATATATTTAAATAATAAATACAATAAAATATTGGTAATATCCAATCTACATATTCCCTTTAATCCTTTTGAATTGTTAAGCAATTATGTTAATTGTATAGGGTGAAAGATCCCATTCAGATCAGACTGACTCTGGGGCACATGAAAATCATATGATAGATTTGTTTCTGACCTTGGCCCATGAGAGATATGTTTAATTTTCACAAAAATGTAAAATGAAATTGCTGCTAGTTTCTGTATCCATGAAATCATTGCTTTATTCTTTCTAAATTTTCAGACTAAACAACAAAAACCTGATCAAATGTAATGGCAAAAAGTACACAATGGCAGTCCCTGGAGTGGAAACCCCAAGATAAACCTTGAGGTGGAGTCTTTCACCTACAACTAAAGACTGCAGGGCCCTATGCTCCACAAGAAAACCAGGGTTGATTAAAATTTAAGAAGCTACCTATACTTTCTTTATAGTTATTTTATTAGTGGTATATCAATATATTTTAAAAAAGATCATTTATTTCTGCTTCTTACTGCATACTTATATACAAGTTGTTTTTTTTAATTAATTTTGTTTTTATTGCATGTCCACCCAAACATTTAAAAAAAAAAAATTTCAGCATTTTTATTATCATGCCTGTTTTTAAACTTTTCTGAAAGATTTATTTTCATCTGGTTGACTCTAATCATCAGCTCTGTTTGCATTGACATTTTGTTGTTGTGGAGTGGATCAGTCTCTTAGATCTGTGACTTTTACTTCTAATTTAAAAAAAGAATACTAATTAAAAATTGTTCATGTATAAACAAATATAGCATTTTTGTAATTCTGTATATGATAAAACAGGGGTGGGCAAAGTGCGGCCAGCGGGCCATATGCGGCCCGCCACAGAGTTTTTTGTGGCCTGCCAGACATTCAGAAAACCCCGCCTTAAACTGAGATTTGCTTCATGTTCGTGACCAAATTAAGTGAAGCCATGAATCTTAAGAAAAAGGAAAACATTGGGGATGAATACCATGTGTTTAATGAAGAATGGACACAAATATTTCTTTGGTAATACTGGCAAGATAACAGTGTGTTAACTGTGTCATGAAACGATTGTTGTATTTAAGGAGGAAATCTGAAAATACACCACGCAATATCCACTAGCCAAGAGTTGTTTGATTGTGTTGTAAAGTGGCTTGTCATGGAATAGAATGGCAAGCAATACAACAGATGGGGTCAGATGTTTTACTAAAAAAATGTGGGTATAGTTAAGCTGTAAAAAAAAAACAAAGTTACAAGCACAAGACACATTTCATTGTATTTTGCATCAGGAAAGCCTTTGTAAAGCTGCACTTGACTTAAAGCATGTGATAGAACCTGTTGTAAGCGTGGTTAACATAATCAGAGCAAAAGCATTCAACCATCTACAATTCATATCAATGGTTGAGGATATGGGTAATCTTGAGGATATGGAGGTAGATAATCATGATGTAATCTTGAGGATATGGAGGTAGATTATCAAGATATAATTTACCACAACAGGGGCAGGTGGTTGATAAAAAGAGTCAACTTTGACAGACATCATGTAGACTTTAACAAACAGCAGGTCAAAGTTGACAGACAAATGGTCAACTTTGACAGACAGCATGTTGTTTTAAACGGTGGGGCCCTCCGCTAAAATCTGCTACCACAAAGTGGCCAGCCAAAACAATCCCCCCCCCCCATGATAGAATAAATTCTTCCTCAAATATAAACACACATGTATACTATATATATATTTAAAACATCATTTACTGAGAGACACATTTTAATACAAAATATATCCATGTTTGGTCTAAGGACTCAAAGTTGTGCAGGTACCCTTTTAAAACTATAATAATTATTTATTAAAAAAGGAAATAGATTTTTACATTTCAAGACAATGTTTTTATTTTTAATATTGTATTTATAAAGAATTTGAAAAAAAAACTATAAAATCAAACAAGTAATTTGAGTAATATCAAAACTTCTTTGTAAAAAAAAAAACTGAAAGAAATGAAAATAGACCCTCATGCAAAATAACAAAAAAATATTATACATGTACTGATCACACTAGAAATAATATTTATAAACAACAAAGGTGAGTGAACAATTTCAAGCATTCTTTTGAATGGGGCAAAGAGACAGTGAAATCAAAAAGGGATAATCAATCTAGGGTGTAATGGCCTGAAAGGAAGTTAACTAACAATAAATAGCTTTCTCATGGTTTCAACTTTTTACATGAGATTCCATTAATTGTTACTTGCTTGGCTCTATTTTAGAATAAACTGTACATAAGGTGAGAAATAAATTTCTTTAGCCAGGTCAAGAAAAATAGCTAATGCAGAATTCAGCTCTATAATAAAATAAGTCTTAAATTAAATGTTTTAAACATAATAAACACTATTCTGATAAAAAGTGTGGATTCATAATTTTTATAAATAACATTTTTTTAAATTCTTATTTTATATTTATTTATTTGACAGTGGGATTGGTAAAGTTGAAAATTTCAAGAAAAGGATTCAATAAAAAGAAGAGGAGAAGTAAATTTCACAGCAAATGTTTTAAATAAAAATAACACTCACCTCTTTGAATTTGCACATCTTATGCTTAATTTTATCTCTTAAACAAGAAACAAAAATGACAGAGATTAACATTAAATTCATTAATAAATTAAAGTTTTAACATTGTAGGAGATGAGAATTAAAAAGATTAACAAAGCTCAAGCAATATTAATTTTTCCATTTTCTTATTCCCTTCCCCTATGCCCAGTCATTTAACCAATCATTTCTCATAGCTTTTCATCTATCAATGGTACTAATTTTATACATAGACATTTTTAACTCTTTACAGCAGTACCAGGCCTTTAGTTTAATTGAAAGGTAAAGAGATAAAACTAGTTTCAGTACTATAATTATAATTATTTAGATAGTTTAATGTTTGACTGTCCATGGGAAAATGATCTAGAGTTCACCTGTTTTTGTGACCTTGACATATGAAGATATAATGTGGTCACACTATGCCCAGCTGCCTTTACATTCCCTTTACTTTAAAAAGTAGTTAAATAAAAACTGTTAAAATACTTTATACAGTTTTTAGGGTTCCCAAAATAGGCTACACTTATTAATTATTTTATTTATATATTTTTAAAATGGTATTTTGTTACAGACATTATTGATTAATTTAAAAACATAATCAAAAAAATAATTCTGAAACATTTAAAATAAAGTTATTACAATGTTATTATATATATATATATATATATATATATATATATATATATATATATATATATATATATACATACACACACACACATACAAGTACTCTTACACTTCTGTGGGATGATTTTTTTTCTTGTGTGGACTTGGATCAGAAAATCTCTTTCCATTAGCATGCTGCTGTTGTGGAGTGGAATCAGACAATCTCTTAGAACTGTTTTTCACTTTTTATTGAATAAAAACAAAACTTTAAATTAACATTTTAAATTGGAAACACTTTATTAAATTATTTATGAGAAAATATTGTATTCTTTTATTTTTCTTTATAGCTGAAACATTTGATGTTAAAGATTTAATAAAAGGAGAGAAAAAGTCTTTTTAAATCACATTAAATCACTATAATAGTTTCACTACTCTGTCTGTCTGTCTGAAACACAAGGAAATTTAAAAGTTACACAGTGAACAAACATGTCAAATAGAACATATAGAAAATTTTCAAAAATTAAACCAAATATGTATAGTTCTAGAGCTGGAAAAGTACAAAATTTTTAAATGACGTAAACAGAATTAAAATACATTGCTGAAAATAATACACAAAAATAATGACATCATCGATATTTTATAATAAAGACACTAACATTACCGCCTAATTTATTTGTCTTATCTTAAAAGTGGTCTGCTTGCAATGTTTTTTTCAGGCATCTTTTTGGGGATTGGTCATCCCCCCCCCCCCCCCCCTAATCTGAAAGAAACACTGTCTGTATGATTGAGATTTAGCGCCTGTTGTATTTCTACCTCAACAGGGCGTTTATCTAGTGATGAAATAAAAAATACAACACAAACCTTTTTTAATCTCAGCATCTTGATGCTTATTTTGGTCTCTGAAATGACAGATAATACACTGATTAACACTACATCCTTACAATCTTCAGTACATTAGCATTGTTACATTGTAGTAAAAATGAAAATAAAAAAAATAAGTTCACCAGCTGCAGGTATTTAATTTTTCCATTTTCTGATTCCCTTCCCTGGTACCCACTCACGTAATGCAAATTTTTCAGTAGCCAAATTTAAACATGAAACTTGTGTCTCTTAACTGCAGTACCAGGCCAAATAGAATTTTAAAATAAACTTTTATTAACATTATAATTAATTAGATAGTTTAATGTTTTTTGCTTCATTCTGAAGTAATTGACTAAATAGCTTTGACTGGATTTCAAATTTAAAAAATCTTAACATGAAACAAAACATTTGACTCTTCGCAGCGTTACCAGGTAAAATTTTTTATGAGAAACAAAGATTAACATTCAAAATGAGTTACGTTACTCAAGTTAAAACAATGTTGATATTTTTGAGCCAATCTGATGTAATCAACATCATGGCTCTGACCTGTACTCTCACTAGCCTAGTCATGATGGCTGAGATGACAAGGCTGCAACAAGCACCATAAACTATATATTGTCATAACATTTTCTGTAAGCGAAGGTGCAGTTACTGTAGGGTTTAAATATTAGAGTTCATATTACATTTAGAAGCAGTGTATGATACATGTACTAGGGAAAGTAAAGGTTAGTATTGTGTAGTGTTTTGTTTGATGTTTAAGAAAATTATGTACATAGCACAACTATGTTAAAGTTGTCAATAAAACATTTTTGGTACTATGTTTGATTTTCAATAATTAATATATTCACCTTATATATGTCAATCTTATTTTTCATTGTAATTTTAGTTTGTATTATCAAGCTATTTTTGTCAAATTTGAAAAAATAAACACAACCAAACAACAAAAAAGTAAACCTATAACTTCCCTTCTGTACCTTAGAGTTCATGGGAGTTCACCAGTGTCTATGAATTTTAACATTTGAAGTGATAATGTGGTCAGCACTATGTCCAACTGGGTATAATTTTCTTTCATTTAATATGTAGCTAAATGAAAATTTTCAAATGTTTTCTTAACCATTAATGTCCCGTAACGCCCGCTGCCGCCCGACACCGTTAATGTCCCGTAACGCCCGCTGCCGCCCGCTTAAAATACGCATAGAAAAATTAAATTTGTTTCATTAAAATTTGGCCTACAAATCCTAATTTTTAACTAAACAGGAAGTCGGATGGTTTCAGCATCCTTTTCGGGTCTTATAATTTCAATGGCGCTTTTGAAAGATAAAAAATAATAGCTTCTTTTGATCTCGAAATTTTAGACTCATCTGTCCTTTTTTTAGTAGATTTAATATTAAAAATAAAATAAAATAATGCCTCTAAACGTATCTAGGCATGTATTTTATGAATTATTTATCTTAAACATAACCAAATTGATATTTAACTGTTAAATTCGATGCTTAGTTGTTTAGACAAAAATAAATAAAGTTGACTACCGAAAATGACCTGTTTTGAATTTTCTCCGACATTTTTTATTTTTTTACTGTACTTTTACCGAATATAATATATTCTATTTAATACTGTTGGAAAGCCAGGTTTATTCCCAACATTAAGCAGTTGTTTTTATCTTAATTTTCAATTTCATTTAGACAAAAACAAATATTTTGTGAAACTATTCACTTGATCATACAGAGTTATGCTCCTTACATTGGGCCGTCATGGGTGGAGTTTTGGTAGAATGAATGGGACATTAATGGTTAAGCTTTTAAAGCCACCAAAATAGGTTACTCTTAGATAATTATTTTACTTATATATTTTAAAATGCTACTTTGTTAAAGACATAGTTAGTTCAGCCAAATTGATAGATCCAATAATGTAAATAAAAAAGGATTTATTAAATGCATCTCCATTTAAACATTTTAAATAAAATTATTTCAAACAATACATTTTACATATATGCACATGAGTATTCTTACACTTCTGGTGGTTGATTTGTTTCATTTGGTTGACTCTGATCAGTAGAACAGTTTCTTAATATCACTGAAGTGTAAGTTATTTCCCCAGGATTGTCTTTTACTTCTAATAGAATGAAAAGACAACTTATTGAGATTAATATTTTAAATTTTAAACATCTTAATTTAATTATTTTAGCTATATATTTATCTAAAAAGTTATATAGTATTTTTGTTATTAAGTCTTAAATAGATTATAAATTTTTTTTAAATTAAACACACATTCAAATTACATAATTAAAATTTATAAAATGCAACAAAAATAGTTTTAGCAACACTTAGGGATAATGATTTTTATTTGTGATTTTTAGCATGGTATTCATATTTATTCTGAAATAACTATTAAATCAAATAAGTAAAATCAAAACATCTTTATAAGCTAAATACACTAAAAAAGATAGTGCACATGATGTGATCTAGTTCAATTTTTTAGAAAATAAATAGCTGTGTGATCAATATCTTTTATTGGGAACTCTGTCTAACCATTGCAGGCATTTTTTTTCAATAAGGCAAATCAACTAGGTTAACAAAAAAGGGGCTTAGGGGTCATCCATAAATAACGTTACTCTCATAGTGGGGGGTCCATAATTTGGCAACAATGTGTGATGAGGGGGGATGGTTTTCATAGTGTATCTGCACATTGATGAAATTTGGGGGGGGGGGGGGGGGGGATGACTAAAATTGTGGTCATCCTAAAAAGTGTGATGACATTTAGGGATGACTCCTAATTGATATCTGGGGTAATGGTACGAGGGTAATCACTTAAGGGGAAGATAACTGACAAAAAAAACAAGTTTCTAGTGTTTCAATATATCAATATTTTGAGGCTATAGATAATGTAAAAGCTAGTCACCACTTTACAGTAGATTAAATATCTATCTAATTTGTTCAATATTTAAAAAATAAATAAATATAGAATGAAGTAAAAACATGTTCTTTAATCTCATCATGCAAAAAGAGCTAATGAAGAGATTTCAGGTACATAATAAAATGTGCCTTAGATTGATTATTGTAAGCATAGACTAATTAAATCTTCTTGTGATATAACATGTAGTATCACAATATTCCTAGAGAAATTATTTTTAGAAAATTCTTATTTTTTACATACATTTTTAAAGTGAAAAAAAAAAATAGATTAGTAATATGCAACACTTCAAGAAAGACATTTAATGAAAAGAAAAGTAAAATAAAACTTTTGTAATCATATAAAAATATATTTTTTTAAAGTTAAACTTACCTGGTTTTATTACATATTGACCAGTATTTTTACATCTTAAATAAAAAAAAATGCTAGGATTAACATTAAATACTTATGAACATAGATAAATTGAAATTTTAACATTGTAGTAGATGGGGATATTAAACAAACACATATAAGGTGACACAGCTCAGGCAGAGAGAGTGAGAGAGAGAGAGAGTAGTGATCTCACGCTCATAAACTATGAAATGGAATTAATGTTGAAATCATACTTTAACCAGTGTCCAACCCCCCCCTCCCCCCCCCCCCCCCCTCCCTGGAGAAAAAAATGTGGAAGATGGTAAATATAATATCCTGTAGTGTTTTGTGATATGTTAAGAAGACGTTCACTGCTCCAGTTGTCAGTAAAACATATTCCTCATACTGTTTGATTTTCTATATTTTATAGATTAATCTAATAACCTATAAACAGATCTTGTTTTTATGGCATTTTTAATATTACACTATTTCTGCCTTATCTAGATAAATAAACTCAACTATGCTAAGTTAAATGTTCTCGTTAAAAGATGAACATAGTTAAATTTGTATTAGTTTAGTTACTTACCTTCTAAAGAAGTCTAAACACTTTGTTATGATATTTCCTAAGTATAAAAAATATAATTTTAAAAATATTAATAAAACAGATATATTTTAAAGGTTAATCAGATTATTGATAAGTTCTGTCAATCAAAACTTTTATTAAAATAATGCAGCAGAAATCAACCTCATAGCTCCAGATTATAATATTACACTCCACAATCCATTAATTATTAAGTCACATTCCTATTTATTCCTCAGAAACATTTCAACAGACTATTTCAATTATTTTTTTTGTCTAAAGTTTAAATAAACAAAGCGGTTCTTTGAAAAAAATTGAAGTAAGAAATCATAATCGTGAAAGAATCTCAAAAATGTTATTGAAATCAATAATAAGGGTAGATTATTTCTTCTACCTTATTGGCCATAAAATTTTTCAAATGGCTAAACTACAATAATAACTTCTCTTCTTCTTCGTTCTTAATTATTAGTGTTAAAGGGGATCGAGATTTATCTGCCAGTGGGTTTGAACTCGAGACTTTGTTCGAATTTATCAACCATGAGCTTTTTGCCGACTCGACCACGCCTCCAACACAATTAAGCTTTACGTGTCAACTGGTTATGCGCCATTGAGGCCATTGACTCCGATTTCAGCCTGTTTTTCTTTTTGGATTTGCTTCCATAGCCTTTGTCCAACCAAGAACAAACTACAAGGCAGCAGTTGTTTTAATTTTGGAGTTGTCTCTCCTAGAAGAGTGGCTGTCCCCAGCTAACGAGCCTCATCTGCCTGAGGGTTCGAACTCGAGACTTTTCGGTTTAGCAACCATGAGCTTTACCGACTCGACCACGCCGACCCCAAATAATAACTTGTCAACACACATTTTTTAAAGTACAAATACAATAAATAATTATGAGCACAAATTTGTCTTATTGTTTACTTTTCACAGCAAAAGCTAACGTTCTTGTCCTGCATTAGCTTAAAAGTAATAAAGCAGGTACAAAATGTAGCTGAATGTTGTTTTTTAACTGATTCATCCTAATAAAAAGGATGATAGAAGGCAAGGTATTTTTTCTAACATGCAAATATCCATGGGGTATATGACTTCTTTAGGTAGGTAAAGCGTATTTCAGAAGTTGGTGGTATTTCATCAAGATTCTTTTGCAGACAATCTGAAGTTTTGAGAATAACTTTCTTTCATAACATATAGTCACAAAAAGCAAGACCTTCTCTGTAACCCCTAAATTCCAATTTTTGTTTTTTAAATATGTAATTTCTTACTAAACATTAACAAAGGTCAGTAAACATATTTTCAATATGGTTAACGAAACATTCTTTGAAAATGCAAAGTGACAGTTGAAAATTCAGATTACAATATTCCCTTTTAATAATTTAAAAGTGTGAGAAACCTTTTTATTTACCTCCCAAAATAAATCCCCCATTCCCCTTTCAGAGCGTATCATCCTTTATGGACAATATTTTGAACTACATGTTTGATAGGTAGATCACTAACAGTTTTCTCTTTTTATTTAATAAGCAGCACTTCTGTCTTTTATATAATGCTAATGGCTCTTTAATTTGTGAACTTCCAAAAATTTATTTTGTCCCTAGTTAGTTCTCAAGTTAATATCAATGATCTTCTATCACAAAAAGACTTTTAAAAACATAACTCACTTTGCACTTGCATAACATATAATTATTTTTAAAAATTAAAGACATTATGAGTAAAATACAACTTTAAAGTAAAAAAAGAAAGGTAAGATACAACAATAGAACATATCTAACTATGCAGCATTTTAAAAAAAAAACTTATTGAAATGGTAGCTAGAAAAAGAGGTGTGGTGAACAAATTAAAAAAAAAAAACAATTAGACTAATGTAAAGTATTAATTAAGAAATTATGTTAAGTATGAAGCTAAATTGAAAAACTGTATGAAATGCGTAAAACAATAGTGATATTCAAATAATATTTGGTTCTAGTATAGTTTTATTTTATTTTTTTAATCACAAAGTGATTTGCAGACACCTTGGATAGTACTTTAGCTTTAGTGGTATAAAAGCTGACAATTTGTAATTATTTTTAAATTGTTCTTTTTTTAAATAATCTCAAAATACATCCACATGTTAATTAACCCAAATTGCTCACAAGAATATTTTATGAGATGGTCAAATATTACAACTAACAATTCATTGTGTCAAGATGTGTGCATGCATTTTTGGTTTCTAATATTAGTTTCAACTCACCTTTGCAACAAGTGATGTTCATTTTTTTTACTATGAATATTATTAGCATTGTTATAAGGCCTACTGCTGCCACCAATACTCCAGCAACTATGATCCACTTTGAAGTATTTGTTAGCTCTGTAAAACAAAAATGTAGTTTAAACACACTATTAAATAAAATACACATCAATGTTTTGTATTGAAGTAAACGTTAAAAACTGATTTTCAGTTTCTTGGTAGTTGGCTGTCAAATGAGCCTATTTCAAACAAATGTAAAATCAATTTTAGTTAATTGAGATTATTAATGCTCTGATAAGTAGAAATAATCTATTGCCAGCATTCTTTACAAGTGATATAAGAAAACCTTTTAATATCAGAAACAAATACCAACATAATTTGGGAATTGTGATTTTTTATGGAACCGTAAGCAATAAAGACTAAATAATCGGTAGGCCAACATAAAAAAGTAATTTTAAAAATACTATAGTTTACCATTATTTTCAGCAGTTTTTCCTTTTATCTTGCAGGACTGAATGGCTGTCTTGAGCACTTCACCACAAATTTCAAGTTCAAAGGTCAGATTTGCAATCTCAGAAGATGTCAGCTCAACATCAGCACAGCTGCTATCATTAGACTTTACACCATTCTTATATATGACAGAAGTGCATGGCTCATTACCAGAGTGACAGCATAATCTAATCTTGGATGCTATTAATGTTGAATTTGACCCACAGTCTTCATGTGTTAATATTTTATCATCGGCTATAAGTGTGCTTGTAGTTTGATCTAAAGCTGAATAATAAGAATTTTAATGGTATTTTTAACCAATGCAATTTTGAAAAACCTCACAACCAAATCAATTTAACTAAGCCTTATATAGATACAATATGCATCAAATATTAAAAAAAAGAAAACCAAATGAAAGGTATGTTTAACTTTAATAAATCTAGTTAAAAAAAATTAAATTATGCATTATGAAGTAGATGTATTTTATAGCAAAATATGCAAAAACTAAGCGACCCTTGCTGCATTTTTATATCATAGATGCAAAGTGTAACACCATTTAGGAAGTGACCCCAAGACAAAAAAAAATTGCAAAATATATAGAATAAATATGCTTTTTGCCAATTCAAAGAATGGTTAATTAGAGTTAAAAAGTATTTCTAAGTACAAATTGACTATCCAAACATGGGGGTGGAAGGGGGATGACACCATGATGTAAACATGCAAACTATAAAGAAAACAATGCTACATGCATGTATTAATAGCCAAAAATACATAAACATTGTTAGTATTTACTATGAACACTTTAAGGCTATCCTCCAGGGGTGGGGGGTAGAAACCAATAGCAAAATGTATGGGTGGATTAAATAATGTGTACACAATTTAATGTTTTTTGACAAAACTGGAGGGGTGACACTGATTGCAACTATATACATATATATATATAGAGAGAGAGAGGCCTATGGAGACTATCTGTAAAGGACCATGACTTGTGTGTTTATTAAGCAGCATTTTGCAGCCTGGCTTTAGGAAATATATTACCTTTCAAATTAACCCTAACCACAACCAACCACAACCAAAACACAAACAAAATCACAAACCCAAACCCAAAAATAAATGCGAACACAAAAGCAAACACAAGCACAAAAGCCAACATAAAATAAAACAAACTAAAGCAAAAATGCAAACACAAAGACAATGCAAACACAAACATAAATGCAAACATAACCGCAAATACAAACAAAAATGCAAACACTAACGCAAAAATAAAACAAACGCAAACCTAAACAATAAAGCAGAAGAAAAACTTAAAAGCAAATATAAAAGCATAGTGCTCACAGTATAGCCAGGGTGACAAATCGCACGATTCAACTTAGTAAACGACTATAATGCTTCATCTTATCCAGAGGCAATCGCAGTTTAAACCAGACGTAGTTGCTCACAGGATGTATAGCCTATATATGTGAATATATATATATATATATATATATATATATATATATATATATATATATATATATATATATATATATATAATTATATTTCATATATTCTATATAATAGTTTTGCTGTCTGTGTATGTATTTATCTGTCTGACAAGAACGCTCTAGAGAAAACACAAGCAAAATAAAAACATGCACAGTAAGACGGAAACGAAATATGATGTCACATTTAGCATATAGTAGAAAATAGTATCAAGCCGGAGAGTGCACACAGTAATATGACGTCATTGATTCTCGAGTAAACATTGAATTAAAAAGCCAATGTTGTCTAATCTTTGGAGTGGTTTGCGTGAAGAGTTTCTTTCATACAATTCTTCGGGTAGGGGCGAAGCCCATCCCCCGCGTAAGAACGTCTAAGCCGACCCCCCCCCCCCCCCAACTCAAAAGAAATGTCGTCATCAATATTCTATAATAAAATTACAGCCTAATTCATGTGTCTAATCTAAAAAGTGGTTTGCGTGAAGAGTTTCTTTCGTGCAATTCTTAGGGTAGTGGCTAAGGACGACACCAGTGTTTCTTTCAGACTTTTTCTCCCCTTAGTGAGGAACTTTTTCTAATCTAAAAAGTGTTTAGCGTGCACAGCTCTTTTCATGCATCTCTTCCGGTAGGGGCGAAGCCCCGCCCAGGTTCTTCCTGTGGGGGTGGGGATGATAGCGATATGGTCTGTTGCGCATGCTGGAGAGCAAGGGAGGGGACGGGAGGAGGGTTAGGGAGTTGGCTTGCCAGCGTGGTGGTGTCCCGCATAGTCCCACGTAGAGAATATATATAAATATAGATGGGGGGGGGGGGGGAATATTTTTTGCAGGGTAGCCTGTGTCTACCTTTAAGATTGAATGAATACTTTATGCCAATATTTCTATTTGAGTAAAAATACCTGATTCCATATATTCCCAATGTTTTTTAAATTAACTGAAAAAAAGAATGTTACAACTCTCAGAATCATTAAAATTTAAGGCAAAAACTTGGAGGAGGAGTTTTAGATGGATACTTTAAAGTTAGACTATATGTTTATTTATTTAATTGTGGATTAAATATAAGTCAAAATTAAAGCAGGTAAAACAAAAATGACTTTTATAACTAAAAATACTAGTAATAATAGCTTACACTTTACCATGTAATACTGTTTTTGATCATTTTTCACACTGAAACTAATTTACATGATTACTCAGGTAAATAGTGAAGGGATAGGGAAAGCCTCTCTTTATTTATTTTCAGTCATTCTAAATTATTATCATCTTACAGCCCTTTGTCTTCCCAGTATATCAATGACAGGTGTTAAAATATAACCATATCAGCTTTAAAGGAGGATATGCTTTAATAATATAATTATATATCAGTGGTGTATAAGTTGGTAAATGATATGAGACTGAATGCATGATGCAATTATTTATTGCAATAAAAGCAAAAAAATAAAGTCTTTGTTTTTAAGAGTATGGCAGCAAACTTACAAATCATTTCTGGTAATTTTTTCATACTGTATTCGTTGTCTTCACCATTTGAAGACTGAATTAAAACTTTGATTTCAGCTTTACTGTACTGAAATTCTGCAGTTCTGTTGATTGTGAAATGTTTAATGTCACCTGAACAGTTGTTGCAGTAGCAGCTATCAGGTTTGACATTATTTTCTGTGGCTGATGTAGAAATAGGGCAAATCTGCAGCAAGAATATTGTAAAAGATTAGAGGAATACCAAATGATAGACAAAATAATTGAATAATTAAATAAAGTTTGTTAATGGAATTTTTAAATACATATTTGAATATTTGCTGATAAATGTGTTATTATTATATCATATGTATGAAAGTAATAAAGCCAGGCTTGAAATGTGTACAGATATGATTTAACAAAATAAAGGAGTTAGTTGCCACCCATATAATAAATTGTCAGTAATTTATGATACAGTATAAATATATAGCCGTTGTAAACTAACCAATCTTATTATTACAGCTAAATACAATAACTGATACATACATTACTTCAAATATAAACATATCAGTAAACATATTATATATAAACAAGAATCTATTTTAAAAAAAAAAAGATTTTTTTTAAATTGATACATTTTAATAAAGTAAAACCTTGGCATGTTAATTTACTTTGCACACCACCAGTTAGTAGGCTATTCATTAGTTATTTACTTTTTTTTACACCACTGCATGAAATACATTACAAAGTATAGTAAAGTACTTTTAAGAACTGATGGACCATAGCACATATGAAATAGATCCATGTTGCAAATTAGTGAGGGTGAACTAAATAACATCTCAAGTTTTTATAAGCCCAATTTCCTAAATATAAATTTAATTTCGCATAATATCTTTTTAAAACGCAAATTTTTTTTAATCTAGAAAATTGAACTGGTGATTTTTGTTGTGTTTTTGATGTAATGAATCAGGCTAATAAAATACTTGTGTTTAATGTGAAAAGAAATCTGAAGCATGTAGTCAACAACTCTGTTTCATAATTATGAATACCATGTTCACTTACTTGTTTGAAATCATTAGTGGGGTATTTTCGGGTTTGTACATTTACTGTTTCGTCCCATGCGCTACCAGCATCAGAGAAATCCACGGAACCACTCATGAGAAAATAATCTTGGTTCACGATAAGAGAGTTCTTGCATTTTGTGTTGCTGTACTGCTGGTCATACTCATCAAGATTTATATTGACACCTTGTTTGTAGAAAGTAAAATAATAATAACATAAGGTAATTATAGTTACTAATTAATGCGTGATTTTTTAAAGTGTGACTGTTGTAAGTTTTAACAAAGTAAACAGCAGGTATAGGCCTATAATAAAGCATTCATAAAATAAAATGCACCAAATGACTAATCAATATTGATAGTAAATCTTTATGATATATAAATATAAGCCTACCAGTTATGATAACATATTATTATCTAGATCTAATTTGAAGGTTAAATATTTATAAAACGAATAGGCCCTAATCATAATTAGTATAATTTTTAGAAATGGTTTTATTTAAAATTAAATCTATAGGCATAGGGTAAAGCAGGGCACTAAGAGCTGTGTGGTATTAGGCCCCGATGAGCACCCCACCCCCACAAAAACCCCAATAACACTGCTAATCTACTTCTGTGGTAACAACCACTGCTGTTCTTTGATAACAGAGAAGCAGAGGATTCATTTTATGTAATTTATGACCCACTTGGTCCAATAGGGAGAGGATGAGACAGGATTTAAAATTTAGGTATCTATCCTTTTAGATACGTAAAATCGCGCGTGACTAGTAATGTGAAATTCCGAAGAGCCTGGTACGTCGGACTCCCAAGTCCCCTACATATTAGCCTGGGGAAGGAAAGGTGCAAGACTGCCGGGAACCAAGAAGGGTTTGCACTCAACCCTAACCAGATATCTTGACTTTAAGCTGCGGCCTTCACGTGGCTTCGGAACGGCTAGTGGACAGCAGCTAGAGTTTTTTTATCTGGCCGAACGCCCCAAACGATCAAGCTGGGTACCAGGCGGTAGGACGAAGTCCCGCGTCTGGTGGGTGGGGAAGGAAAGCCCGGTGAGAGCCGACGGAAGAAGCGACCGATGTGTGGGAAACTCTTGGTCGGAGTTTGCTACACTGAGGCCTGCCTGGCTAATGGAAGTCAACCTTCTGAGCCGGTTTCCGTATAAGTAAGGAAGGAAGTAATGTGAAAAACAGGTGACTCCTTAAATTTTAATAATTATTTCACATTTGGAAGAGGGTTTATATTTTGAAAAATACAAAAATGTTTCCTTGTTTCATTTCTGTACCTGTACCTGTTTTTTTCAAACAATTGAATTAAAACTTTTCAGTAGGCTAATAAATGAAGACTAGCGATGTCTCCAACAGATGCAACTAGGTCTAGGTCTATAAGATTTATGGACCTTGACCAGTTGTAGAAAATAAGTGACAATCAAATAATGAAGAAAACAAACTTTAACTTACAGTTTGAGTTTATGATCAAAATGTGAAATAGTAATACATATAGACTTCTAGTTCTAGATTCTAGTAATAAGGTCTCCATTTCTTAGTTTCGATAAAGCCTAGCCGACTTTCTTCTTCTCAAAAGTTTTATTTTATTGTAATTAGTTACTAATTAGGCCCTATACTTCTTGAAAAAAGAAAGACTATAGTGATAGAGATCGAGGATCTAGATCTAGATCTGATTGATACTAGATTCTATTATTAGTACACTTTGAACACGTAACAACAGTAACGAAGTCTATATTTAGATTCTAGATCTAGATCTTACTAATAATATAAATATTAATAAATAAGAAGTTTGTATTGTTACAAGTATCTCCCAGGCATGATACTGTAAATAAATTTATTAGCCTATTAAATAAACATTAATGAACTTACAATAACCCCAAAACTGAAGCCAGCCCATTTTCAAACAGCTATTGCCCGAGCTATGACGTATGCTGCTAATTAAAGTCAATTTGAACTCACGGTGAACCCTTGACAGTGTAAGAGTGTAAGGATTTTTCTCCCGCTGACGGATCCCACGCTATGGGACACCAGCGAGTTGACGAGATTCCATCCGTAATGTTGTTGGCATGGAATAAAAATATTAAAAATGTGCTTTTTAGCGCAATTTCCATTCTGGAGAATTGCGTTTATTAACTCGTCAAGGATGGATGGATGTCCGCAGCTTTAAGTCGTATCTCCTCCTCAACGAAGCAATATCGAGGACTAGTTCCAAAAGCAAAAAAGTTAAGCAAGTTCCAAGGATTATTGTGGGCCAAAAAAAATTCCCGGGTTTCCTTCCTGGATTTCCCGGAAAAGTAAAAAAAACTCGAAAAAATGCAGTTTTTGGCCCATATCTCGGCAACCAGACCACTTAACGACTTGAAACATTTACCAATCGATTCCTGCCATAATTTAGAACAATACTGCAAAAGAAAGTTTTCAAAAATATCCTTTCGTTCGGTCACAAAATTAAAAAAAAAATTACATTATACATAGGCCTAATACATTACATTTTACTATAAAGCAAAATCGGCAGTGGAAGGCGAAGGAGGACGAGGGTAAATCGTGTGACCTGCTCCGCAGCGAACTGCGCTGGCTGGCTTAGCAGCGAACTGCGCGAGACGCAGGCGAACGAGGATGTGACCTGGTTTTGTCCCCGTGTGTGCTTTACGCTACGACAGAGCTATTTTTAAATAACATAAGGAAATTGCGCTTAAATTGTCACTAGACTTTTTAATAACTTGTTTAGACTTAGGACCATAAAACTAATAAAAGATAAAATTTTATTAAAAACTTAAGCCTAAAATTAAAATTAATTCAGAAATGTAATATTTTTAGAATCAATGCTATACAAGTTGCAGATCCTGAGAACTTGAAAATAATTTGTTGAGTTTAAGGCTACATTTCTAGATCTATTTATTTTCATCAAGCCTAAGTTAGGCCTATAACCCGATGTTTTACTTTCGTAAGTCAAACATTGATTGGCTGTAAAGGAACTCCGTGATCGATTTCTGACAGCCCCACTTTATAGTTATTTTGTTTACAAAACTTTGCAGATCAAGTTTTTAAATAACTATGCAAATTTAAACACCATGACCTATTTTTTCTATTTTTAGCTTACAATGTGTACAATAAAATTTATGGCGGCCATTGTTTATGTCGCCATTACACGTGAAAACTAAATTGTTTTTGCTTTTTTTTTTTATTTTTATTTAGTTACCGAAAATATTAAAAACATCAAATACATCCAATCTTTAGTAAAGTCCGAAAAAAACCAGACAGACAGGATTTTATAACCATATTAATTGTAACTACGCCGTGCATGATTTTTAAATGAACTTTTGACTTTTTGGACCTCTCAAATACCTTTGAGACTTTTCTCGCTGGTGTCCAATGGAACAGTTCTAATGCTTTTTTATTTGTTTTTTTTTTTAGGAAGTGGCTATTCTTACCCGGGTATTGAATAGCCACACCCGCTATTGGGACCCGGGTCCTAATAGCCTTGGCCGCTATTGGGGTCCGGCATTAAGTTGTTAAGCACTAGTACAACCTGTATTAAAATTATACCTTTTATGTTTATTTGATTTTTGTTGTGGCTTTTTTCGTATTTTTTGTCTTTTATTGTAATTAGGGTAATCTATCGTTTTAGCGTAATCAATTCGGCTGCAGTAGTAATGTGCGGATGAGGTAACTGATGAATATATTTGTTTAAATAAGTTTATTAAAGTCAAATTTTACAAAATATCTTAGATAATTGATTTAAAATAACAATCAGTGACCAAAACAATTTAAATAACATGAAACTAACTTTAAACTAGGTGTTTGAGATAAATATTAGTAGAAAAAAAACAGCGGCCATCTTTCCAAATAAAATTTAGAGTAGTTACCCTTGATAAAAATGTCTATTCGTATGTATATTGTGTTGACTTTGTTGTTTAATATACATACCTGTCTTGTTTAATATAAGTAAGACAGAGGGCCGTCTTCTTATCTTTAATTTCAAGTGAAATGATGGCTATGTATGTATGTACATCCAAGATCTCAAAAAATTTTGGGAGGTCCAACATTTATTAAACCCTTTTGTACTGATTAACTTGTCAATTATTAGGTCGTCCATATTCCTCATCAATGACGTTGGACTCAAAATATAGGACGGTATAAAATACTTTTTTCAAAAATGATAAAGAATATATTCGTCTTCGTTAGAAATTGTAATTAAGGGTTCGGGTGTAGTAGAACTGCGATATGATATTAAATCATCATCTTGCTTTTAGTAACTATTGGGTGAGAGGGAAATCGTCGGGAAAAGTATGACGTCATTTATGGGCGATCCATTTAATTAAGCCTAGTTGTTTATTTTGTCTGTAGACATTAGTCTTAGGCCTACACTTTTTCTGAATTAAGATTATTGTGTTTTTTAAAAAAAGGTTCACATTTTAATTAGTTACATTTGAATACCACATGCTTTGTTTTTTTTTTTTCTTTGCCTTCTGCTGTCATCAGTTTTTGATTTCTTCAGTAGTCAATGTTTACCCCTCCCCACCATCCATTATTACAACAACAAAACAAAAACAAACACCCACTATATATGTCATAGCGTAGATATATAGAATTAGACGAGTAGAGGTTACTAAGGACGGTACGAACTTGACGGTAGACGATTTGGTGCGAGAGTATGGTGCGCGTGACGTGAGCATGGTGCGACAATGTACCGATGACGTAGAACTCAGCAGTAAAGTTAGTTGGGGGTTAGATATAGTAGAAGACGGACGTATTATTTGATATTGTGCAAATGATCTATAAGTGTGTGTTAATAAAGTTAATGTTATTTCATAAACGAAGTTGTTGACATTGTTAATTAGTGTCTGCGGAACATAAGAGTGATTCCCGTCCTCCTCACGAGTATAATAGTTGCCGTATGAATAGTAGTAGATCAGAATATATTGAGATTATATATAAACCCCCATCACAATATAGTGATATCTCCCTCTAGAAAAAAAAAACTAGATCAACCTATAGTTCGTAGGAAAATTAGAATCTATCACTTATTCGTCTGTTAAAAAAAAAGAAATACGTCCTTTTTCTCAACCACGCCGTTTCATCCCCCACTAAGCACAATGTCAGCGAGTTCGCAGCGCGTGTAACGTCATTTGTCATTGGGCTAATGTTAAAGAAAGAGATACCGTGTAATTTAAAAAAAAAAAACACGCAATATGGGGTTGAGACTTGAGCGACGTTGAGCCTGACGAATAGATCTAAATGACTTTAATACGGTAAATTATATTGGTGTTTATTAGAGGCATGATGTTCTCCCTCTACTATACAAATTCACGTGCTTTTAATTTCTGCAACCTGCTGCTCTGAGACTCTAAAATGCCCGTGACACAGCGGCTTCCGTATATGCATTTAGGCTCCTGGTCCCACCTATAAACTTCGTCTGTCCATTAAGCTCCACGCAAAACCTGTGATTAATATGTGGACATAAGCGGCGCTAGAGGTGGTGTCAACAGAGACACCCCTAAGCTCAGCTCTTAAAGGTGCTCTGCACTTCATAAAAGACAAAATTGATGTTCAGATATCGTGAGACTCGGGCGTTTTGCCGACGGCCGCATTCCTAATGCACCGTCTTAGAGGCTGTCCACTGCTTGCACTATATTAAACCCAGGCCTATACTGAGCTCTGGCTTCACATTAGCTGCTGTCGTATTAAGAGTTGATCTTTTGTTATGCACCATGTCGTGAAACTTGCTGTTTTGTCCAATTTTACCTGCAAGCCAATAATTGTCTTAGACTCTTGTCGAATATTGTTGCCAGGAGCTACTTGGTTTGAGCCTTATTGTCAGAAGTTATTTCATTCGGAGTCAATGTAGTGCGGCTTATTTTCGTCGGTAGGCATTTAGTGGCAGGCCCTTTTTGGCGGGGATGGTGTGCTGAGGTTGTTTAACACCGCTTAGGACAACAGGCTTGCAATAGTTATGATCATTCGTTATGAGCAAAGGTATGCATGAAAACGAACACAGCTTTATAGAAGTCTTCCATAATTGACGTCAGGACCCCCCCCCCCCCAATCACCTCTTCATTATAGGTAATAAATTTCGGTCCTGCGTAAGTTGACGTCACATTAGCATAGCATATGTGACATCGTTTATGCACAACACCATATCACTCATTTTGGGTAGTTGGTATCAACGTTTTGACAACAAAGGTTATTCAAAATGTATATTGGAGGTTAGGACTTGACATTTATCATAAATGACATCGTGCACTTATGGGGTGGAGTAACTGGTTTTGAGACGACGTTTTACGTGGGAAGTGGGAGGGGTAAGAAACGTGAAACGTTATGTATTTCGCCTAATACAAAAATGCTGAACAAAATACTCTTTTTCGTTAGAATTATGGCTTGACTTTTTAACAGGCAGGGCAAAAAGGTAATTTTCGACATTACGACTGTTTCGTGACGGCGAAAACGAGGGGGGGGGGGAGGACTTCATTAGATCTAGATCTAGTATAGTAGCTCTACAAAAATCGGGACTTCCTTAATTTATAAAAGTGCATCTCATAAAAATAATTCTAGAACTGATGATGTTTATTGTCAGTCAATTAAATTGTTTAAAGAACAGAAATTAAAAAAAAACAAAAAAAAAAACGCATACTCTGAATTAAAAAACAAGACAATCGTATTTAACAGCAAACAGCAATATATTTCCATACAAATAGAAATTAAGGGTAAATGACTCAAAATAATACTTTCTTAAGATGGCCGCTGTTTTTGATAGTAAATTTAGTATCTGGAACATCGTTGTTAAACGTTAATTAATTTTAATTTCATGATATTTTTATTGATTTAACCTTGATTTAACCTTAAATATTCAAATAAATTATCTTTAGTATTTTAATACAATATGCAAAAATATATTCATATTTGAGCCAAATTCAT